AATTCAAACCCAAGGCTCCGCAACGATGTTGGAATACTCTATCCTTCCAAGCACCCTCTTCATAGGCCCCTACAAGGGTTCACTTCCACTGAGGGAATGCCCCGCTGGGGGATAACCGTGTGAACATCCAGGATCATGCCAAAACGCCACTCTCAGGACTTCAACGCCGCAGGGTCAACTTGACTGTTGCGTCTTGACGACCCTGAATCGCGCCAGGACGCCGTTCCTGAGACGCCAACACAGCGAATCAATGCAACTGTTGCGCCATGATAATCCTGAGACGTTACAAACAAATTATCCCGGCAAAGCAACCTAACAGCGATGTGTAGAAGCATATCTGAAAGCATTCCCCTTAAGATTCAGATGAAAATCCAGTTGTCGAATTCTGCTGTTCTCGCAGTCGTAGTCGCATTCGCGATGACAGTCGCAGCGGCAACGGCAGTCGCAGTCACAGCCTCAGCCTCAGCCTGCCTCCTCCTCCTCCTCCTCCTCTTTCTCCTGCTCCTCCTCCTCCTCCTCCTCCTCCTCCTCCTCCTCTTCCTCCTGCTCGTCCTCGTTCTCGTCCTCCTCGTCTTGCTCGTCCTCCTCCTCCTGGTGCTCCTCCTCCTCCTCCTCCTCCTCCTCCTCCTCCTCCTCCTGGTGGTCCTCGTTCTCCTCCTCCTGGTGCTCTCTCCTCCTCCTCCTCCTCCTCCTCCTCCTCCTCCTCCTCCTCCTCCTCCTCCTCCTCCTCCTCCTCCTCCTCCTCCTCCTCCTCCTCCTCCTGGTAGTCCTCCCCCTCCCCTCCTCCTCCTCCTCCTCCTCTTCCTGGTCGTCCTCGTTCTCGTCCTCCTCGTCTTGCTCGTCCTCCTCCTCCTGGTGTCTCTCCTCCTCCTCCTCCTCCTCCTCCTCCTCCTCCTCCTGGTGGTCCTCGTTCTCCTCCTCCTGGTACTCTCCCCCCCCCTCCTCCTCCTCCTCCTCGTCCTCGTCCTCCTCCTCCTCCTCCTCCTCCTCCTCCTCCTCCTCCTCCTCCTCCTCCTCCTCCTCCTCCTCCTGGTACTCCTCCCCCTCCCCTCCTCCTCCTCCTCCTCTTCCTGGTCGTCCTCCTCCTCCTGGTCGTCCTCCTCCTCCTGCTCGTCCTCCTCCTCCTCCTGCTCGTCCTTCTTCTCCTGCTCCTCCTGCTCCTCGTCCTGCTCCTGCTCGTCCTCGTCCTCCTGGTCTTGCTCGTCCTCCTCCTCGTCGTGCTCTTGCCCCTGCTGAAAATGTGGCCCAGGAATGGGAGTTCTGGGAAGTCGAAGAGCACGAAGTTGCCTACAGTTGGCTACGGGCATTCAAAATGTGGCCCGGGAATGGAGTTCTGGGAACTCGAAGAGCACGAAGTGGCCTACAGTTGGCTCCGGGCATTCAAAATGTGGCCCGGGAATGGAGTTCTGGGAACTCGAAGAGCACGAAGTGGCCTACAGTTGGCTCCGGGCATCCAAAATGTGGCCCGGGGGTTCTGGGAACTCGAAGAGCACGAAGTGTGTGAAAATGTGGCCCGGGAATGGAGTTCTGGGAACTCGAAGAGCACGAAGTGTGTGACTGTTGCATCCGGCCCTCCAGAATGTGGCCCGGGAATGGCGTTCTGGGAACTCGAAGAGCACGAAGTGTGTGACTGTTGCATCCGGCTATTCCGAATGTGGCCCGGGAATGGCGTTCTGGGATCTCGAAGAGCACGAAGTGTGTGACTGTTGCATCCGGGTATTCAGAATGAGCCTGGGAATGGAGTTCTGGGAAGTCGAAGAGCACGAAGTGTGTGACTGTTGGCGAAAAACGAGCCCGGCACCCTGCCGCCCGGCAACTCCCAACACCTGCCCGGACCCCCCTGTGGAGTGATCTGTGAGCTCTTTTGACCCCACTAGAAACCTATCAGTCTTCGCTGTTAGGTAAAAACACCATCATTTCTGGATAAGCAACCATGCGAATCCATAAAACCCTTGCGATGTTTGAAAACAAATTTGCGCGGCGCTAAAGCGAGAACCACATGTTGGAAACGAACCGCCCTCAACCCGTGAAACCCTTGCAGTTGCTTCAATCACATGTGCGCGGCGTTAAATCGATAACCACCTTTTGAAAACGACCCGCCCTCAGTCCGTGAAGCTCCTTCAATTTTTGAAGCGAGTGTGCGCGGCGCTAAGGCGAGAACCATAGATTGAAAAGGGACCGCCCTCAGTCCGTGAAACCCTTTCCAGTTTCCAACGAAGAGTGCGCGGCGCGAGATCCACACTTTTTGGAAGCGGCCCGCCTTCCATCTGTGAAACTGGTGTCAGCTTTTGAGCTTAGGACCATACATCGTAAAGAAATATCATGCGAAAAGCCTGGCCCGCCCTTCCGACTGGCCTCGGGATGCGACAGGGAGGTTTTACTCATAAGAAAAAGGAATGGAGTACCAGTGTAAACCCAGGAGGAGGAAGGAGGAGGGAGGTGGAGGAGGAAGAGGAGGAGGAGCAAGTGGAGGAGGAGGAGGACGACGACGACGACGAGGAGAAAGAAGGCACGGCCCGACACGTCGTCCGACGACGGTATCAGCGGAGGACGTGACTCTCCGCACGGCGGCCTGATGACCCGCCAAAGGACGAGCAGGGAAGAGTAATGAACATGAGAAGGAACATGATGACGAGGACAATGAAGGAAGGGAGGACGAGAAGGAGGCAGAGGAGACACAAGCAAACAAGCGAGCCATGAGTGCTTAAGCGAGTCAGCGACCAAGCAAGCCATATCCATCAGTGCCTCAGGGAGTTACATAACGACTGAGGAGGGAGGAGGGTGGGGGAGCGTAGAAAAGAGGAGGAGGGGAGGAGGAGGAGGAGAAGGAGGAGAAGGAGGAGAAGGAGGAGGAGGAGGAGGAGGAGGAGGAGGATAGGGAGGAGGAGGAGGGTGGGGAAGACGGGGAGGGGTATGAGGAGGGTGGAAAGGAGGAGGAGGAGGAGGAGGAGGAGGAGGAGGAGGAGGAGGAGGAGGACTGGGGTGGGTGGGTACCAGGGGGGAGATGATGGAGAGGAGGGGGAGGGGCGGGGCGACAGCAACGTCAGCGCGGCAAGGGACACTTCTAACATCTGCCCGGTGCAAGGGCGGGCTGCCCCTCCTACCCCCTGCTCCCCCGACCCCCGTCGTCCTGGCGGCGCGCACGGGGAGGGGCGAGGGCTTCTTAGGTGGACTACACGCAAGAGTGGCCCCAGGCAAGAGTGGCCTTTGGTGCGCGGCTGAACGGGGGACGCAGGGTGGCCAAACCTGGGCGCGCAAGCCGCTGCTACAGCTTCGCTTTCAGCGATCGGGGGACACCATTGGGCCCGCACCACAGGTCACTCTGGCGAATGGTCACTCTTGCGTAGTTTAGTCGATTCGAAAAATGCTGCTCCTCAGAAGGCGCTGGCCCTACATCTATAGACGAGGCCTGCGCCTTCTGAGACGCAGGCGTGCTTCTCAGGAGCCCTCATCCCCATCCCTGACCCCCTTCTGCGCGTGGCTGATCCTCGCCGGGCCATCCTCAGCAGGGGACAGGGCTCCTCGGGCGGGTGGCAGTGAGGGGTGACCTGACTGGGGGGTGAAGAAGAGGGCCCCACAGGGGGCCCTTTAAGGGCTCTTTTCTTCACCCCGCATTTGCAGTCAGCCCGTAGAGTAAGGATGCACGGCAAGAATGCGAGGGCCTTGGATGCCCATGCCGAGGCTCTTCGAGCGGGGCTGGCCATCGAAAGTGGTTAAGGATGGACCGAAGACGACCGAAGAGGCAAGGATGCAAGGGTACCCTTGGGAAGACGCTCATCCTTACTATGCGGTTCGACTGTGGGCCACCCCCCATTACCACCCGCCAAAGCTCCTCGGGCCACCCCCCATTACCACCCGCCAAAGCTCCTCGGGCCCCCCCCTCCTTTGGCTCTCTGCAATAAGCCCCACCCGTAGCTCCCCGGCAAGCCAGTGGCCCTCCCCGAGCCTTCCGCGAGGGCCCGCCCCCCCCTCTCGGAAGGCTCGGGCGGAGGTCCAGGCGGAGCAGGTCCAGACGGAGGCCGAGCACTTCGCATGGGCCAAGTCCATATGGACTTAGCCTCCTTTGGTGGCGCGCACAGTGGGGGTAGGGGTAGGGGGGAAGGCTTCTTAGAGGGAGGCTGCTTCTTAGAAGGCGCTGGCTCTGCATCTATAGACAAGGCCCGCGCCCTCTAAGAAGCAGAGGGGGCTTCTGGGAAGCGTTCCCCCCCCTCCCTCTGCCCCCCCCCCCTCTGCGGGTGGCTGACTCCTGTCGAGGCTAACTCCACACGGAGTAGGCTCAGGCGAAGACCGAGCACTCCGCGTTGGCCTACTCCGTGCGGGCTTGCCCTCCTGACGGGAGAGGCCAGGTCCCAACGGAGGAAGCCCGGACGGAGACTGAGCACTCCTCGTGGGCACGCTCCGTATGGACTTGGCCTCCTGTCACGAGAGGCCGAGTTCAGACGGCGTGAGCCCTCATGGAGACCGAGCAGAGACCGAGCACCCCGTGTGGACTTACTCCGTATGGACTTCGCCTCCGCCGACCCTGCGGAGGAAACGCAGTCAAGACGTATAGATCCCCGATGAAGGTGCAAGGGCCTTTGAAGGCCATGCCGACACTTTTCGCGTGGGGCGCGGCCAGCGAAGACGGCCAAGGATGGGCCGAAGGGATGCAAGGGCAACCTTGGAAAGTTGCGCATTCTTATTGTACGCCCTGACAGTAGGCACGATGTGCCACAACAGATGCTGCCCAAAACCGACAGCGGCCGCTGCTGGGCAGGCGGGCTTGCACCTCAAATGGACAACGACCGCGGCGACGCCTAGAGCGAACTCTGCTCCGAATGGATGGGCAAGCACCGCCGCTGGACTCCGTGCCCGCTGTTCCCGTCCCCACTTCGCTCCCCCTGGCCCTCTGCCCCCCCCCCTGAGCGCCCTGCCGATCTGGCGGCCGCGGGGGGGGGGGGGAGCGCGCGACGCCAGGGGGGCCGCGCGCCACCACCGCCGGCTGGCTGCCTGGCGCGCCCTCAGCCGCCCTTCATCACGTCCTGGGCGCCCCCCGGTGAGCAGCGGCGGGGGTCTCCCCGAGGCGGCGGGGGGGAGAGGGGAGCAGGGGGAGGCGGGCGAAGGCTAAGAGGGAAGATCATATTATTTTCGATTAGACGATGCGCTGCGCGCCGCTCCTCAGCTACCCGAGCAGGCCCGTTTCCCTGGCCAACTCATTGTGGCCAGGCTCTCGCCACTTCTCGAGCGCTCGCAGCTGCTGAAGCCTCCCCCTACTCCTCCTCCTCCTCCTCCTCCCTCCTCCTCCTCTCCTCCTCCTCCTCCTCCTCCTCCTCCTCCTCCTCCTCCTCCTCCTCCTCCTCCTCCTCCTCCTCCTCCTCCTCCTCCTCCTCCTCCTCCTCCCCCTCCTCCTCCTCCTCCTCCTCCTCCTCCTCCTCCTCCTCCCTCCTCCTCCTCCTCCTCCGCCTCCTCCTCCTCCTCCTCCTCCTGTCCTCCTCCCTCCTCCTCCTGTCCTCCTCCTCCTCCTCCTCCTCCTCCTCCACTTCCTCCTCCTCCTCGTCCTCCCCTCCTCCTCCTCCTCCTCCTCCTCCTCCCCTCCTCCTTCCCCCCTCTCCTCCTCCTCCTCCTCCTCCCTCCTCCTTTTCCTCCCCCTCCTCCTCCTCCTCCTCCTCCTCCTCCTCCTCCTCCTCCTCTCCTCCTTCTCCTCCTCCTCCTCCTCCTCCTCCTCCTCCTCCTCCCTATCCTCCTTCCTATCCTCCTCCCTATCCTCCTCCTCCTCCTCCTCCTCCTCCTCCTCTTTCCGTTTTCTGCTGCTTTGGCGGAGGCCCCCAGAGAGAACCACCACAATCCGACCTACCACCACTCGAGCGCCGAGGGGGTCTCACAGAGGCCCCACCAGCCTCCTGGAAACCACACGAAGAAGAACACACGGCCTGCACGAAAAAAGAGAACAACTACTCCTCCCAAAAACGATCACCTCGTTCAGCCAAAACGTCAATCAAGCCCTGTGCCCAGGAAACTCGACGAGCGTCGAGTGGCGGGGTCACAGGGGTCGACCTGGCTGGGAGGGGCCGCTGGGTGGAAGGGTCGATTCCTCTCTTGAGCAGCTTTAAGGCATTCTTCGTGCCTGAGGTCGGGTGCTCCAGGCACCGCGTGCGGAGCGACAGAATTTGCCTCCAAGCAAACCCTCCACAGGCAGAACACCATATCACCCCGTCCTCCCACCACCCGGCCCACCACAGACGATGAGTATGATGGGCCTGAGCGAGCCGAAGAGGCACGCCAGGGCAAGGGAGGCGACAAAGCCTAGCACGCGTGGCGCAATTGCGCCCACACTGAAGGCATCCCCAGCGGCCAGCTCTGAACTTCACCTGATGGCCCCTCGGGTCCGAAACGAATTCAAGCGGATCGAAGACCCGCTGGAGCCGGGGACGTTCGACGTCAGGGAACTCAGCGGCCGCTAGGTGGGATAGCACGCGGCCCGTATAGTAGGCTACGAACCTCGCTGCCCACCAAAGGAGAGGCTTCTGCTCTACGACTTTGGGGCGCGCGGGGTGCCCTTGAGCCCCGCGCTTGGCAAAGGTGTCGGCTAACTTGTTAGCCCTGAGATGTCGCCACACAACGCCCTAGGCCTGAGCCTCCCGCCAAGACGTGTGGGACGGAACCCGGACCAACTGGATGTCCTCACGGCCGATGTCTTGGATCTTATCCCAGACACGGACCCAAATCTCTAAATACGGGCGCGTCACTCCACAACAGACCTCCGGGCCCGCAGCAACACCATCCGCGACCGCCTTGCAATTGGTGACAATGACAAGATCCCCGACGGAATGCTGCAAGCAAAGGTACTTCGCCCAAACCTCCGCAAGACCTATTTCCTGCAGGGCGGTAGGGATAGTGCCGAACACTGCTCCTCTCGACTCACCGTGGTTGTCAACGGCAGCGCATGCCCACCCTGCACGGCTGGCGCGCGCAAGTTCGGGATCAACGCACGAGCCGTCGATGCCGACGAGATCTGAGAAGGCGCCTCCCTCGAGGGGCCCATCATTGCGGATCACACCGAGCTGCGATGGTGGCGGTTGCAGCCTCACCTCAGCAGCGAATCGGCGAGGCACCTGTACAACAAAGGATCATTGATCTGGCGTCGACTCCCCTCGCGAGTGACATCGTCAATATCGGGCCCGTCTCGGATCGATTTTGAAAAATCACAGCAAAAGAGGCGATGGTGACCGAACGAGCCTCGCACAACCTCTGCTGCGTCCAGAGACCCCCGGCGGCGCGAGTGGCCAACAACTGAACCCCAGCCTTATGCCCGTCTCGGCGGAGCTGGGCCTGAGCCTTTCGGATTGGATCCAAGAGCGGGGCAGCTCCTAGCAACTCTAGCCCCTGAGAACTGGAGAGGCTGTTCAAAAGCGCTAGCTCTGTGCCGAGATCGACAAGCTTGCGAAGAGTGCCGGGATGGACCTCAGACAAATCCACGACCACCCCACTCCCCGTCAGCCACTGGTCGAAACGTTCAGCGGTCCATCCCAGCCTGGCGAGGGCACCCAGGGCGGCCGAGCAGGGCCCGCGGACTCGGCCATTCAAAGCTGCCTGTGCTTGCCGAAAAATGCTAGCGATGGTGGCCCTAGAGGCCAATCCTCGACGATAGCACGACCCCAAGACGTCAACGGCAAGGCGTTAGCCGCGTAAATCGGGTCAGCCTTCGGATCGCCGCTCAACAGAAACTGAAGAGTGCGAGACTTGCCTGCTGCCGGACCGAAGCAGGCAGCTCCAGCTGCGGCCCTAAGCGCATGTAAAGAGGCGTTAGACATGCCGAAAACTATTGCACCGTAAAGTGCGGCTGGGTTACCCCCAGTCTTGAAGATGCGAGAAATACCCTTTCTAGCTCAGTAACCTGAACCATCGTACGCGCTGGCGAACCTCTCTGATCCTAGCGTGTTGAACCTTGCGGGATTGCCTGCGGCCCGCAGCGATATCCACCCCAAGACTTTTAACACTACTCTCGGCCTGGAAGTTCCAACGCCGGAGACGAGCCGCCAGGGCACTGGCTGGGGCAGGGGGCGAGGCGGTGATATTGTTTTTAGTGGGCGAGATCTTCAGACCCAATTCCTCGAGCGACTGGCACAGGGTGTTCGTCCCGCCAGCCAGCGTGCGGACCACCATCTCAGCGGGGCCCGTGGCCGAAAGCGAGCTGTCGTCCACCACGAGGTACGCGGCCAGCGATTGGAAGCGGCCGAGGACGTGGTTTACTGTCCCCATTTAAACCAATATGAGCAGCGACGTGGCGAACGCGCACCCTGCACTGATCCCCTGAGCTATTCGGAAACTAGGGGAAATGAAGATGCCCACCTGCAGCACTTTGGGCCCAGAGTATAACGCCAGCAGCAGCGCTAACCGTCGGAGCCCAAAACCATATTTTCCAGCGGCCTTCAGGAAGCCGAGATGGCAAACGTGCTCGTAGGCCTTTCGGAGGTCTATACGGGTAGTAGCGGTACTGTGGCCATTGAGGTGAGCCCACTCAACAGCCGCCGCCTGCTTCCAGACCGCCTGCTCGCAGCTCTTCCCGTGGCCCCCGAACGCCCAAGACCTAGGCCACTGTAATTCCCAAGCCTTGGCCTCAGTCTTGCGGCGCGCTGCTAAAACCCGAACGCATGTGCATAGGATGCTTATGGGTCGGTTGCCGCCGTCGGGCTTGCTATGGAAACCAATCGTGATAATCCAAAGCTGGCACGGAAAAGATACGCATCTTTCCAGACGCCCCAAAAACTTTCCCAATGCCTCCAGACCAGCGTCCGAAATTTGGAGCAGAACCCGAGGATGCCACCCGTCAGCTCCGACCGCCGTTCAACGCGTCGGCGCCCTTGTTGTCGTGAAATTATCCTCGGAGGGCCTCTTTGTGACGCTCCCGACAGAGGGGAGGAGGGAGGAGGGGGGAGGGAAGGAGGAGAGAGGAGGGAGGAGGACGGATGGGGAGGAGGCGGATCTCGCGCACGGCGCTATCCGAGCCGTCGAGGCTACGGATGAGGTAGGAGGAGGAGGAGGAAGAAGAGGAGGAGGAGGAGGAGGAAGAAGAAGAGGCGGAGGAGGAGGAGGAGAAAGAGGAGAAAGAGGAGGAGGAGGAGGAAGAGGGGGAGGAAGGATTAAAAGCAGGACGGATGAGGAGGCGGATGACGACGACGAGCAGGAGCAAGAGTGGGAATGACGCCCGTCCTAGAGCCTCGTGGTGTCGCCTTGGCTCTCCTAAAGCGTGCTGGGGGTCCTGTGGCCTGTTTGGGCTCTTCGGGGCCTCTTGGGGCCTCTTGGAGCCTCCTGGGCCCCCTGGAGCTCCCTGAGTGTAATTCAAAGTGGGTCCTCCGGGGGGCTCTTGAGATCTCGTGGGCTTTCCCGGGGCCGCCATGGGCCCTCCTGGAGCCTCCGTGGGCCCTCGAGGAACTCTCTCGTGGGGGCGGAATGATGAAAACAATTTCACGCATGGGGGCCTTTCCGTTGAGAAGGGGGGCGCGTTGCAGAGTGGGTCCTCCTGGGGCCCTCCGGAGATCTCCTAGGCACTCCCGGATGGGAGCCTTTCCGTTGAGAGGGGGAGCGCGGTGAAAGGTAATAAAGTGACGACAGTGTCGTTCTTGAGGCCCAAAATCGTCCTTGGGCACCTCGGGCGCGAATCCCCCTCCGCCATAGTACGGTGCGATTTCCCCTCCCCCCGCTGTCCCGCCGGACCCCGGGAGGGTGATTTTTAGTGGTTTTCTCTTGTAAGAAACACTTCCCCCCCCTCTCGACGGTGACGGAGGGCAGGCGGCGGGGGTGGGCGGGTTGGCGGGGTGGCGGGTTGGCTGGGGTTGCGGGGTGGCTGGTTAGGCTGGTTGAGCCGGTTGAGTTGTTTGGGTGGCTGGTTGGTTGGGCTGGCTGGTTGGGCTGGCTAGGGCAATTGGTTTCGACTATTGCTACTACTACTACTACTACTATTACGACTACTACTACTACTACCACGACTGCCACTACTGTTACTACTAATAATACCATTACAACTACTACAATTACTACAACTACGCCTACTACTACTACTACTACTACTACTACTACTACTACTACTGCTACTACGTCTACTGCAGCTGCTACTACTACTAGTACTAGTAATACGACTACTACGACTACTACGACTACTACGACTACTCCTACTACTACTACTACTCCTACTACTACTACTACTACTGCTACTACTACGAATTAAACTAGTACTAGTACTAGTAGTACTACTACTACTACTACTACTACTACTACTACTACTACTACTACTACTACAACTACAACTACAACTACAACTACTACGACTACTACTACTACTACTACTACTACTGTTACTACTCCTATTCCTACTACTACTAGTACTACTACCAGTACTACTACCAGTACTACTACTACTACTACTACGACTACGACTACTACTACTACTACTACTACTACTACTACTACTACTACTACTACTACTACTACTACTACAACTACAACTACAACAACAACTACTACTACTACTACTACTACTACTCGTAATATTACTCCTACTCTGATAATTACTCCTACTTTTACTTCTACTCCTACTACTACGCCTACTACTCCTCCTACTCCTCCTACTCCTACTCCTACTCCTACTCCTACTCCTACTCCTACTCCTACTCCTACTCCTACTCCTACTACTACTACTACTACTCTACTACTACTACTACTACTACTACTACTACTAACTACTACACTACTGCTGCTACTACTACTACTACTACTACTACTACTACTACTACTACTACTACTACTACTACTACTACTACTACGACTACTACTACGACTACTACTACTACTACTACTACTACTACTACTACTACTACTACTACTACTACTACTACTACTACTACCTACTACTACTACTACTACTACTACTACTACTACTACTACTACTACTACTAGTACTACTAGTACTAGTACTAGTACTACTACTACTACTCTACTACTACTTCTACTACTACTACTGCTGCTGCTACTGCCTGCCTGCCTGCCTGCCTGCCTGCCTGCCTGCCTGCCTGCCTGTCTGCCTGCCTGCCTGCTGCCTGCCTGCCTGCCTGCCTGCCTGCCTGCCTGCCTGCCTGCCTGCCTGCCTGCCTGCCTGCCTGCCTGCCTGCCTGCCTGCCTGCCTGCCTGCCTGCCTGCCTGCCTGCCTGCCTGCCTGCCTACCTACCTACCTACCTACCTACCTACCTACCTACCTACCTACCTACCTACCTACTGCTACTTCTCCTAGTACAACTCCTACAGCCGCCACTGCCGTACGTTACTAGTATCGCCGCCAGCGCCATCCTCGATATCTGAAAACGACAGAACACGTTCCGTCGTGTTTTGTCTCGACGCGAGAGCCGACGCTGCCTCGGCGGGCCGTCCCCCGACCTTCACCTCCGGGCGGTCCTCTTCCTCCTGCCGCTGCTTGTCGAGCACGGTCTGCCTCACCTGGAGGACCACGGAAAAGCGACACCACCAGGCGGGGGCGCGCGGTCGATAAATCCATGGATTTGGGGGAGGTGCCCTGCCCAAAATGCGGCCGGTGCCGCCTCGCTCGGCGGCGGAAATCCGCGATTCCCCACGGAAACGGGACCCGTCGCTAATCCACGCCCCCTTGATCCATGTTTGCGATCGCCTGAACCATCCCCCCTCTCACTCGAGGCATCCCTACCCAGTTCGGGGTGGCATAGTCGTGGGTCTCATCGCTGGAGGTGGCCGCCCCCCTGATGCTTGGTGGTGGTGTCGCTTATCCTTCCCCCGACGTGGAGGGAAACAACCACTGCATAAACATAGCCTTTCGGAGGTTTTCGCGCGGAATTCCTGCCTCCTGGGTCTGCGCTGACACTTCCCCCTCCTCGCGCGCCGAGGAGCGCCAGGGGGATCACAGCGCAGACCTAAGAAATCCACGCGGAGCTCCGAAAATCTATGTTTTTGCTGCTTTGGGGGCGCACGTGAAAAGGGTACCGATACCACTACCCCCTGGACTTCTCCAGGCGTGCGTTCGGACCAAATCCCGACGCGAATCCAACCGTGGCGACGAGGAAAGAGCAGCGGCATCGATATCTTCCCTCCAAAAACACTCCACTGGATGATTAAAAGGTTTCCCTCCAATAACCCCCCTCAAAGCTTTTTTGATTGATTTTTGGAGGGGCCCCGAATTTCCGGGATTATCCCCTGAAAACCGTTTTGAGACAGGTTATTCAGGGCTTCCCCCTCTAAAACCTCCACTCTGTTGGTTCTTGTTGTTGATTTTTAGGGTGGGTTCCCAAACCCCTCCTAGGGTCCATCTGGTGCAGTTTTTCACCCCGGATCCATTTTTGATAGTTCCGGGGCCCGAAAACGGCCCCAGAGCAAGAGAAAAGAGAAAACAACCTGCTCGCCGAAACTAATGCTGGGCCACCTCAGACCCAAAGCCGGCTCCAAGGAGCGGTATCGCTACTTGGTGGCGCGCACAGGGGGATAGGGGGAGGGGGGAAGGCTTCTTAGTAGGAGGCCACTTCTTAAAAGGCGCCGGCCCAACATCTACAGACAAGGCCCGCGCCTTCTAAGAAGCAGGGCGCTTCGAAGAAACCCTCCCCCCCCTCCCTATCCCCCCTGCGCGTGGCCCAGCTATCTCTTCTCCCTCGGAGTTTTGCTCTTCTCCGCTCGCCGTGCCGACGAACGCGCCGAATGTCTTCCGCACGCTCGCCAGGTCGTCCGGCGCCACGGGCGCGGGCGGGCTCACCTCGAGGGGGGGGGGCCACCGAGACAGGGTGCGGCGGCCCCACACGGCCTCTCCGCACGGCCCGCCACTCGGGTCGCTCTCCGAGGATGCCTCGGGGCATCTGGGGCCTCCGCGGTGCCAAACCCGTGCGGCGGCTCGAGGCGTCCCAGATGGGGTCCGAGCTGATGGGGTCGGAGGATCGCGCCGCATCGCCGATGCATGTGCGATGCATCCGCGACGTTGGCGATGTCAGACGAAGCCAGGACGAAGGATAACATCGGGCGAGGGTAGATCGAGAACCTCTGAATCCCCGCAGCTCTGGAAGATGTCTCGGGGCGCCGCGGCCTTCTCGGAGCGTTCGCGACGCTCCGAGAGCGCTCCGGAACGCTCTGGAACGGATTTATCCTCGTCCTGGCCCCGTCCGACGATGCATCGGCGCCGTCGGCGTGGAGAAACTCTGGGGAAATCCAGAGATGCCGATACCGCCGACTCCCCAGACCTCACCCGGGGTGCGTCCTGACCATGACTTCGAGCCGAATACAGCGGTGGCGACGAGGGCCTCCCAGGCGGCCGACGAGGAGGAAAACGGGCGGAGGGTAGGGGTCTGGATATATACCTTGTCCTCCTCTGCAGCTCGGGCCCCACATCGAGCCGCGTCGCCGAGGCATCGGCGATGCAGCGCGATCCTCGGACCCATCTCGGGCCCCAGCTGGGAGGCCCGGACCGCCCAGCCCGTAACCGCACGGCTCGAGGGCCGCGGAGGCCCCAGATGCAAAGGGGCACGGGGACACGCAAATAGAGAGACTTGGGTCGGGCCTTTTTCGCCCACAATCCCCCTACAGGGGGATTGTGGCGAAAAATGTAAAATACCCAAGGCATGCACCCAAAATGCCCAAGAATACATGAAAAATCGTTCCCAGACTTTTTTTTGACTACTTTTGAATGTTCCTCCTGTAGAGGGACAGGCCCGACTTAAAAATAGACACAAAATCCAAGGATCCCTTATAGTTTCCAGCATTTTCTGTGTTTTCGCCTTCCCCCCACTTCCACTATTTTCGCATATTTGTTCGTGGGAGTCGGCGAACTATCGTGTCTGTGTGTTTTCCACCTCCTGAATCTGCCCCGAGACATCCTGGGAGAACCACCAGCGTCCCCAAATCGTGCGGACACCACGAATCGACGCCTGGCCCGGTGTCTTCAGGTCATAGCTCGGGCCTCCAGCGGCCACTCGGGACGATCTGGATACCTCCAAAACGCCCTCGGCGAAGCGGAACCGCCGAGGGTATCCAGAAGACGGAAAACCGCCTGGAACCGACGAAAACATGTGAAAACCCAGAATCTAACCCGAGAGCCGACGAAAACGCCATGATTTTGTTCGCAACCTCGACCCCCAAAAGTCTCGACCCATTCCCGAGAACCCGGTTTCTCATCCCGAGTCGTTTTCTGAAAGTCCTGGGGCCTGGCGAGGGTCCCCAGGAGCCGAAAACTGTGCACTCACCCCGAATTGGGGCCTGATGTTTTTGCAAGTCATAACTCGGGCCTCTGGCGACCAATCAGGATTATCTGGATACCCCCAGAACGCCCTTGGCGAGGCGCAGCGGAAAGCATCCCGAGGATGGAAAACCGCCAGGAACCGACGAACACATCCGAAACCCAGAGTCCAAACCGAGAGCCGACGAAAACGTCACGTCATGAATTGCGCAACGTCAACCCTCGACCCATTCCCTGGGACATATACTTCATCCCGAGTCGCTTTCGGACGGTCCCAAGGACCAGCGAGGGCCCTCCTAGACCGAAACGGGCAAACTAACCTACTCGACTCTGCTCTACTCTACTCTACTCTAGTCTAGTCTAGTCTGCTACTCTACTCTACTCTACTCTAGTCTACTGCTACTCTTCTCTACTCCTACTCTACTCGGCTCCCCTCTGCTCGAATATACTCTGCTCTGCTCGACTCGACTCTACTCCATTCTGCTCTACTTTTCTCTGCTCTACTCTGCTCTACTATACTCGGCTCTACTTTATCCGACTCCACTTGACTGCACTCTGTTCTACTCAGCCCTACTCTCGTCTGGTCTGCCCTACCCTGCCCTACCCGAACCTACTCTGCTGTACTCCGATCCCCATTCCCTACCAGTATAGAATATTCCTGCACTCCACCACAGCCAGCCGATAGGGGCCACATCTGAGACCACCCTCCATCAGACGTGCGAACAATTAGCATGACGAAACCCAACCACATGCAACTGCGAATACCGCGAGGGAGATGAGACGAACCGTGTGAGGGGTGTGCCGAAATGAATGCCTGGGATGCATGTGGACGCACCCCCTGGGGCCTTCGGTGGAGCTCCGTATGGGGCCACGAACCGAATGAGGGGTGTGCCGAAATGAGTTCCTGGGACGCATGTGGACGCACCCCCTGGGGCCTTCGGTGGGACCCGCCATGGGGCCACGAACCCCCCTGGAGCCTTCGGTCAAAAACGGAACATGGAACTCCTTATGGGGCCGCGAACCGTGTGAGGGATGTGCCGAAATGGGTGGCGGGGACGCACGTGAACTGTGCCACTGGGACCTTCGGTGGGGCTAAGGGGCCACGAAACGTATGAAGGGTGTGCCGAAATGGGTGACGGGGACGCATATCAACTGTGCCGCTGGGGCCTTCGGAGGAGCGCCCTATGAGGCCACGAACCGTGTGAAGGGTATGCCGTAATGGGTGGCAAAATGCATGTAAACTGTGCCACTGGGGCCTACGGTGGAGCCCCCTACGGAACCACGAACCGTGTGAGGGGTATGCCGTAATGGGTGGCGGGGGCGCATGTAAGCTGTACCGCTGGGTCCTTCGGTGGAGCTCCCTATGTGGCCACGAAACATGTGAGTGGTGTTCCGAAGTTAATGGCGGGGACAAATATAAACTGTGCCACTGGGGCCTTCGGTGGGGCTCCCTGCGGGGCCACGAACCGCGTGATGGGGTGTGCCGTAATGGGTGGCGGGGACGCATGTGGACTGTGCCACTGTGACCTTCGGCGGAACCCTTATGGGGGCCACGGAACGTGTGAGCGGTGTGCCGACATGGGTGGCGGGGACGCATGCGAACTGCGCCATTGGGACATTCGGTGGAACTTCCTATGGGGCCACGGGCCGTGTGAGGGATGTGCCGACGTGGGTGGCGGGGACGCAAATCAACTGTGCCACTGGGGCCGTCGGTGGAACTCTCGTTGGGGCCACGAACCGTGTCAGGGGTGTGCCGACATCGGTGGCGGGGGCGCATGTAAACTGTGCCACGGGGACCTTCGGTGGAGCTCCTACGGGGCCGCGAACCATGTGAAAGGTGTGCCGAAATCAATGGCGAAGACGCATGCGAACTGCGCCATTGGGACCTTCGGCGGAGCCCCATCTGGGGGCCACGAACCGTGTGAGGAGTGTGCCGACATGGGTGGCGGGGACGCATGCGAACTGCGCCACTGGGACCTTCAACGGGGCTCCTATGGGGCCACGAAACGTGTGAGGGATGTACCGAAATCGGTGGCGGGGACGCATGCGAATTGCGCGAGTGGGACCGCCAGCGGAGCTCCCTATGAGGCCACGAGACGTGTCAATAATGTGCCGACATGAATGGCGGGGACGCGTGCGAACTGCGCCACTGTGAGCTTTGGCGGAGCTCCGATGGGGCCACGAATAGTGCTAGGGGTGTGCCGACATGAATGGCTGGGACGCGTGCGAACTGCGCCAGGGGGAGCTTCGGCGGAACTCCTATGGGGCCACGGAGAGTGTGAGGGGTTTTGCGAGGGAGGAGGGGGAGGAGGAAAGAAGGAACACGCAGCGACCGTCTCTTCAAAACGAGAGCCCAATACCACAGGATGGTTGGGGACAAAACAAAGTCGACGATTTTCGTCTCAACATGGGCATGGGTCGGGCATATATCAAAACAAAAATGTTGCACTAATGCGACGGGGCGCACACCCCGTGCGAAAAGCCGACGTGTCGCTCTCGCCTCGGCGCCGCGCTCATTTTTCTAGATAGTTGAGCTCCCGTTGTGGCGTGGCGCACATTTTTCGAAGGCAACTTTGTCGTCGCGCGAACGGACGACATGCAGTTCTCGCCTTCTCAGCTCATGAATTTCGCGCAGGAGTGGCTTTCCCGCCTCGACGCGGCGCACAGTTGTCACTCGCCAGTGTGTGGAAGCCCGCGCGAGTGGGCGACTGAGCGCCCTCGCATAGGTTCCGTGCGCATTCTGTTCGGAAGTGTTGTCCCGCCCGGGCGCGGCGCATGGTTCGTTCGCCGAGTCGCGCGACAGCGACAGCGGGGCCGCGCGAGAGCGGGCGAAATACCGACCTCGCCCAAGTGCTGCGCAGTTTGTGAATGAAGGCGGCAATGTTGTGTCAGCGCGGCGCATGCTTCGTGTTCGCGCCCATCGGAAATTGTGGCGCTCTCGTCCATGCACGATGCGCGTAATTTGTCCCTCGTTCGATTGTCGGAAACGGGGCCGCAAGCGAGAGCCTTCAGTTTGCGAGGTGGGAGCGCGTTCGGGTCCCAATGTCAAATTGTGCCACAAGTGATCCTTATGTTGTGGGAGCGAGGGTGGGAATAGGCGGGGACGTCTGCATCCTACTCATATTCTACACCACTCTACTTGCATTCTCCTCTGCTCTACTCTGCTCTACTCCAATCGACTCTACTCGAATATGCGGTTCTCTTCTATCTCATATGCCCGATTATACTCCGCCACCTAACCGATTCTACTTTATTATGCTCTGCTCTTCTCTACTCCACTCTACCCGACCCTACCCTGCCCAACTCTACTCGACCCGACTCTAATCCTACAGTACTCTACTCCTACTCCTACGCAATGTATGTTACTCTGCTCTACTCTCCTCTGCCCTACTCTTCACTCCTCACTTCTACTCTCTTCCATTCTACCAGAATATCATCTATCCTACTCTACTGTACACTACTCTACTCTACTCTACTCTGCTCTACTCCCCTCCACTCCACTCCATTCCACTCTACTCTAATCGATTATG